ATATTTATCAATATTTACCATATTAAAAATTTGCATTCACCACTGCTTCTCATGATTGTTTGATGGGATTTTAATACTGTATTATTTTTCAACATAGGCTGGCAAATAATTTTGATTTTGAAGACCCCTGAGAGGGTCTTGAGGGACCCCCAGAAGTCCTAGGACCACACTTTAAGAAACACTGCTCTAAATGATATTTCCAAAAAAAGGAAGTCCTACAACAGAGATTTTTTGTAAAAGCAAATCATCTTCCCTATGCATGTAATGCAAAAATGCTGTATTCTGGAATGTCAGGAACAGGGAAATTCAGAACCAGGGCACTGAAAACCAGGGCATACAAAAATAAGACAATTATTTTCAAAGATTTGAGCATTTTTGTTTAGGGTTCCCAACATTCAGCCCAATATTTGTTAGGGAATCATGTAATATTGCTTGAAGGGGTCTGGTTAGACTGTGCTTGAGAGAGAGGAATTTTCTACTTTACAGAAATAAACGTGAATCTACACAACTGTTTCATATCAATAAAAGCAGGTAATCAACGTGATAATTGGAGCATCTTTTATAATCCCTGGAATTCTGTGGACTTGCACTCACATAAAAGCTTTTTCAAAAATCATCTTAAACTTTGCCTCCATGTTTCTCACACTCAAGGTTACTCCATCTCTTTTCCTGAGGTCCCGTTGAGAATTGATGAACAACTGCTCAATTCATAAGATTAAAAAAAAAAACAACAACCCTCCTATACTGCATAGTTCTATTAATGTACAGCCATGTAAGAACAATGAAACAGGAAAGTATTATTTGGCTCTATGTGCATATTTCTGTTTTGGCTGTGCATATCAGACAATTTATTATTACATGATAAATTGCTTGTTTATTTATTTATTGCCACTGCAAGAGTTGTTTTCAGATGCACTGGGTAATCAATCTTTGGGTCTGACATTTATTTTAATTCTTTGTCACTCCTTCATGATGGAAAACCCTTGAATGTTCCAGTCATCTACTGATGCATTGTGCTATTTTTACAATAACCTAACATTGTGAAGATGTTGTTGTTGGAAGTGTTGTAGTTTCTGAGAAGGCCAGTCTATTAGAATGAAAAGCTTCCATACCAGTTGAGTCATGGCTTCCAATAAATGACAGGATTCTCCTTTTCAACTATCAGACAAACCATTTGTGTATTTTTTTAGTTCCTATATCTTATTAGTTCAAATAATTCAGGTTACTGTGCTATCAAAATAATGCAGTTTTACAAATGGAAATACTGCTATGGCCCAAACCCTTTCCTACTACATTGCTTAGCAATGATAACTGATCAGGTTCAGGTTAATGATGATCACTCTTAGAGTATGGTTCCTCCTATTTTCTCACAACTTGGTATAAAGATTCAGCACACTTCCAACCACTCAAGTGAAAAAAGTGAGTTTCCCAAACATTTTATCCATCTCCGAAACAGTAGCTCTAGCTACTTCCTCTGACGCAACATCACTTGCTTGGCATAGACCACTAAATACCAGTCCTTGAGACCAATGTCATATTTCTCAAAGTCAATGGCCTTTTGGAAATCCAGTGGAAGAACAGAACTGCAACACTATAATACCACTCACTAATTCACTCTTGAAGGCAAGCCAAACCAAGAATGGCAGGAGAATTCAGAACCATCCTGAGACTGTCTTGCATTTTCTCAGCAAGTTGCAGATTTTTAAAAAATGTGTACACTTTGGCACATGATTCCCCCTACCCCTACCCACCCCAAGTAACTGGTGCAAAAAGCCCCCAAGATTTCTGTTCTGTCAAAAGGGCCCAAGTGAAGTTGTAGTAGAAGCAAGAAGGAATTCCATCAATCAAAAGGAAAGTTTTGGAGACAAATCCTTTGGGCACTAGAGAGGCACTTTTACTACCATTCCAGATTATGTCAATATGGAAGAGAGCAAGACAGGAGAATAGGTTCATCCTGGAAAAAAAGCCATTGGCACTAGATAAGCTTCCTGCAGAAAGATTTCAGACAGTCTCACCATCTTGTTTGATTCTTGGTTGCAGCAGTCATGTTTTTGCCATTTTCTGTAATCTGCACACCATCCATATTTAATAATTGAGCTTTGTTACTGCTCGTTCTCGGCTTGTCTCCAGATTTTGATTCCCTGAACGCTTACGGTTGCGCTTGAGCTTTGATAAGTCTTTGTCAAAAACTTCACCTGATCTCAGTGCTGACACAAGATCGTCAAACTCTCCTCCTCCTTCCTCAGAGATACTACCAGCCTTTGCTTTCTTTTGACGCCGCTCTTTCTCTCTCTGTTCTTTAAGCTGTTAAGAAATACATACACATTTAATAAATATAGATTTAATATTGTGGCTGACTGGAAAGTGCACTAAGAAAATGAACAAAGCTTATTAATAATAATTTTAAAAAGACATTAATAAGTAGTTGTTTGTTGGGGGGCTCATCCTAGATTCAGCTATTCATTGGGATAATTCAAAACTTCAACATTACAAGAAACTAAATATAACTTTTTGTGGATCAGACTAAAAAGCTACCTAGCCCAGCATCCTGTTTCTAACGGTAGCTAGCCAGATACATCTAAAGATGATAGCTGTCTTACATTGTTTGCTTCCTTGGTTTGGATTTTATGGAGTTTGTTTTTTCCTTTCCCTTGCTGTTTTGAAGCACTGTGCTATTTATTTATGTAAAGCATTTTTAACCTGTTCTTCCACTGAAAGAGCTCCCAGAGTGACTTACAAAGAACAAGAATAAGACAGAGTTTGCTCTCTGGGGTTTATAGTCCTAAACTGAACTTTTAGCTGCTTTTTCTCTGTTTGTTAGGCACCCTGTGGGTTTTGTAAATAAATGTAAGTAACACTGGATTCTTAACATTACCCTCAGAACATGGGGCATCTTTAAATGTTGGGCCTGGAATGAAAGTATGCAAAAATGGAACTGGAAAAAGACCTTTGGTAAAAGTGACTTAGCCTGCAAACCACATCTGTATCAACAATGGTTTCATTAAAGCCAGCAAGACAACTTTGGATTGAACATAAACAATTTGTGAATTATTCTGGAAACTACTTAAAAGATCCTGTGAGGTAAAGTAATTAGGCTGCCAAACTAAGTCCAAGAGTATCTAGATTTGTATCTCCTTTCAGACTCAACCATTTTTTCCCTAACTTATCTCAAGTACATACTGGGAAGATAAAGGAATGGTAGAGAAAAGGAGAGAAATTTGTGACTCCTTGAAAAAAGACTAAAATAAAAGTCTAATTAGATCTTAAGGATGGTTTTCAGTGAAGAAACAGGGCAGCTGCTTCTATTCTAGGCTATTCCCCATGGGATTAAACATTTAGGAGGAATAGGAAGAAAGAAAGAGAATTCCTACTACTAATACTGTGGGTATAAGGATGTGATCTTGAGTATACTGATTTCAGTAGATGTGAGATCCCACTGATTCAAGTGTCATCAGTAATATTATGGCAGATCATAATAATCACACCTTGGCCACCCGCAGCACAGAACTGGGAACAAACACCTCTCATTTCTGAGCAGAAGGCTTTGCCATCTTTTCCCATACTGGCTGGCAAGGAATTCTTCAGCAATTTCAGCCTTTGTAAAACTATTCACTGTTGTTCTCCATTTAGGAAGCTGAAAAGTCCTAACATTTTAAGCTAGGAACAACTGTAAGTAAATTCACTGTTAAAAAGAAATACCTGTTGAACTTACTGGAAGCAGACCTCCCTCTCTCTACACATTCTGAAATGTATCTGACTGAATGTTGAGGCAAACAGGAAAGTACTGGAGCATAGGATAGAAACTCCATTCTTCTATGGCTGGAGTGGCCAGTGCAGTTTAAGTTTCAGTGTTGATAGCTTGAAAGGAGCCAAGGAATCCTGAGGAGCTATTCTAAGATTAAGACATTATAATATTAGAAAGAGAAATTGGTTCACGTGAACCTCCAGGAAGCCAGGAACTAAGGTTCCAGAAGCATAATCAGCCTTGGAAAAATATGGATCCCACTAGAGTGAAAAGAATCAGCTCTGCAGAACAAGAAGGCAGCATACTACAAGCTATAGTATTAAAGAAAGCAATTAAGAAAAGACATTGATTAATTACAAGACAAGTTTTATCGCATAGGAGGTAACAGCTATGTAATGAAGATTTGTGACTGGATTTTCTGTATCTTTACATTTTGACCATTAGAAATTTGAAGGGGTAGAGGGAGGAACTGATAGCGCTTTGGTGAAGAACAGTCAACTTCTCTGTACCATATCCTCCAAGAAAAGCTCCTATCTCCTTGTGGCTGCTACTGGCTAAAATTCAGAAAAAAATGTTCTAAACCTGTATCTTCATTTTCTTGTGCAGTTTGGCTCAATCCAACGCCAAATGCTAGTAACTTCAAGAATGGAAACAAGAGGTTTAGGAGAAGAGAAATATTGTGCCACAGGAAGAGGAGGGAATATGTGATAGCCATGCTTAGAAGAAAGCAAAGTTGTGTTTTTTAAGGCTTAATATACAGCCAAGAGCAGTAAATGTGGGCAGGGAAACAATTTCAGGTACAAAAAGGTAAAACATAACATGGTTCCTGAACACAAACTGAATGCTAGAACAGTCAGGAGTCAGAAGTGCAACTCTCCAGTAACAATATATTAGCCATTCTGATGCCAGAAATAATGTGCAGTAGATGAAAGTTTAAAGATGTATGAAGATGTAGTTCAAGGAAAAAACAAATAGGATGTTATGAACTACAAAAATAGAATGCAGTATCTTTTGGCAAAGAATAATTTTAATCATAATAATACGATTATAACAAAATAAAATAATAATTATGGAAGTGTTTTCCATATTTCTCATTGTAAGATACTGAATCCTTCCAGTGTTTTCTCTGCCGACTTCTAAGTTCTTAAGAAAAAGACCTTGCATTGTCCCTACGGTCTGCAGGATAACCTGAGGTGGGTAAACATTCCATATGAAAAATGGCGAAGAGATGCATGGACCTATGGCACTCAGGACAAAAGTGAGGCTAGAGAAATGTGCAGTACTTAAAGAAGGCAACACGTAGAAGAACCCAAGAAAGGCAATGATACAAGCCACCTTGTGAACTGGCTTGTGCAAAATTACACTGAAAGAAAATATAACCTTTTGTTCACACTGCCCTTAACTTCCCAAGACATTCTGGAAGTCATTTTTTCTGAAAAAAATCACTTTTTTACTCTAACTTTTGAGTCCTCACCATAACTTCCATGCGTGCCCTGCGCTCCTCCTCTTCTTTCTTCTTCCTCATATTCTCCAGATCTTGCTTAGCTTCTGTAAATGATTGCAGGAAGGTGTCAAAGATGCCAAAAAATTCATCTGGCTGCATCCTTCCCTCACTCTCTCCAAAATGCTTCAGTGCTTTGGCATACTGTTGAAGAAAGGAAGAAAAATTTCTGGCAATTAGAACTAAAAGGAAAAGAAAAAATACTATCATCTGTTAGCGGAAGTGTTTAATATCATACAGACTATAAATTTTGTATTTTGTTTCTCTCTTGGAGACTCTTTCAAGATTTAAAAACCAAGCACCTGAAATCCTTAGTATTCA